ATATTTAAATATGGGTTTATATAAACTTTTTTCTTTATTTTAAATATGCTCTATAAGTTTGTCCAAGTATTTCATAAACATCCTGTATACAGTGCTCATAATTAGATGCATATTTCAGGCGATTTCTGAAGCGACGCCTACTATTCCCCTCTTACTGCTTGCGTTTCGCCGGCCCATACGATTTGCTCGTACACCCCAGCGCGAAGTTGAAAAGGCAAAAATAGTTTTAGAAGTCCTGTTTTTAGCATTATTCAGAATTAGGACGAAGTCATAGTAGGATAATAGTTCTATTTTTTTACTTTATTAAATATTTTTTTGTATTTTTATAATTTATATTATTTTATATTTTTAAATTTTTATTTTATTTTTGTATTTGTTTTAATATTACTAATGACGAATTTGATTGAATGCACTCGTGCGTACCAAGTGCATACTAAAGTTTCTTTATAATTCTCTCTTGTTTTTATACTTAAAAATCATCTTAAATATATCTTTAAGTACTTCTTAACCAGAAAAATGATCTGCATTCGTACGAATCGTTTTATTGGTTAAAAGTTTTTAAAGATGTATTTAAGACGACCTTAAGTATAAGAACGAACTATGAACAAACCTTAGTGTGCATTCAGTGCGTATTAGTGCATTCAATCGAATTCGCCATAAGATATTAATTAATAGAATATTATATACTTTAGCTTTTAATAATAATTTAATTCTAATAAGAATTTAATGATAATTTTATGAAAAAGATAATTTAAAAATCATGTCTTCTAGCCTTAGCTTTTACGAATATTTCTATACTTTTTTAAAAAAAGTAAAAAAAGGCGCCAAGTATACGCGTCACACATACAGTATTCATTCCATAAAAGAAGTTTATAAAAAAAATTGTAAAAGAATTTAATACGAAAATTCTATACAATATCCTTATTTCTAAAAAAAGACTGTAAAAAATAAACAAAGTCAAAGATAATTATTCTTAGATGTATAAAAAGAATTGTAAAAAAAACTCAAAACAAAAATTCCATATAATATTTCTAAAAAAAACTCTAGAAAATATAAAAAAATATTCAAGAAAAATATTTAATTCCGTAAAAAAAATTTAAATATTACTTTTTAATATCTTCTTTAAAAAATAGTGAAATTAAAAAGTTGCGCCAACTGGTAATGCGAAAGTATGTTGTACGAAACATACAGAGAGAACGATTTGTTGAATCAAAGAAACGTTTCTTTGGAATGGATCAAACAAATATTTTGATTGACCGAACAAAGTTTTGGTTGACGTAACAAAAACATTTTATTGTAACTAAGCTGCAACTAAATATTTTTGTTGCGTTAAACAAAATTTTGTTCGATCACTCAACAAATTTGTTTGATCCATTCCAAAGAAGTGTTTGTTTTATTGAAATCGTTCTCTCTATATAACAAACAAAGCAGCAAAGAAAAAATAATAAAAATAAAATTTAAAATAATTAAGAAATGAAAAATAAAATTAAGATTTAGACAAAAACATTTGGCATGCCCAGAATGCATTAAAACAATTGAAGATTGGAATGCACAATCTATTGCGACTTTTGTTTTAATGCATTCTGGGTACGCCAAGTTTTTGTCTAAATCTTAATTTTATTTTTCATTTCTTAATTATTTTGAATTTTATTTTTATTGTTTATTATTTTTTCTTTGCTGCTTCATTTGTTACACAGAGAGAACGATTTGAATTAAACACTTCTTTGAAATGGATCAAACAAATTTGTTGAGTGATCGATCAAAGTTTTGTTTGACGCAACAAAAATATTTAGTTGCAGCTTAGTTACAATGAAATGTTTTTGTTGCGTCAAACAAAACTTTGATCGATCACTCAACAAATTTGTTTGATCCATTCCAAAGAAACGTTTCTTTGATTCAACAAATCATTCTCTCTGTGTATGTTTCGTACAACATACTTTCGCATTATCAGTTGGCGCAACTTTTTGATATAACTATTTTTTAAAGGAGATATTAAAAAGTAATATTTAAATTTTGTTTACCGAATTAAATATTTTTCCTGAATATCCTTTCATATTTTCTAGAGTCTTTTTAGAAATATCGTATGGAATTTTTGTTGAGTTTTTTTTTACCATTCTTTTTAATTCAAGAATAATTATCTTTCCTTTGTTTATTTTTTACAATTTTTTTTTAGGAATAAGGGTATTGTATAGAATTTTTGTATTGAATATTTTTACAATTTTTTACGAATTTTTTTATGGAACGAATACTCTGTGCGTGCGTGCGTGCGTACCTGCGTGCGTGTGTTGTGAGACGCGTGTACTTGACGTCTTTTTTACTTTTCTTTAAAAAAATAATTAAATAATTAATAAGATTTAAATAATTAAGATATCACATATTTTTTTACAAATATATATGTATGTACGTGTGCATATATGACATGAGTGTGTGTGTGTGTATAAATTATTTACATTTTATATATTTATTTATAATAAAAAATAAAAGAGATCCCACCACACCACCCCCGTCGTATTTTCTAGTCCTTCTCTCTCTCTCTCTCTCTCTCTCTCTCTCTCTCTCTCTCTCTCTCTCTCTCTCGTTTGCTTTCTATATATCTGTGTGTGTATATGCACTATATCATATATTAGATGGTAAACTTAGTTCCTGCGGTTTTTTTGTTTAAGAAACTCATTTATTTCGACATCAAAAGCAAAAAATACATTAATCGAAGTATTTTCCCTCGCTAGCTATACATTTTTCCCATCTTTCGG